TGTAAAATAGTCCCCAAAAGCCAGGAAGGATGTTTAAGAGAGTTGTCATATGTAATAAAGAATGGTTATACTGTATATCTCTTCTTTTCTGTGACAGTGTGGTAGCTCATGGTTGTTTATCAATAAATGCACCAGCCTCTGCAACCAGCCATGGGTAGCAGTCTTAAGTTTGTGTATCACCTCTAAAACATCTTGAAAGTTGTTGCCACATTTTAATGTTTGTGTCTGCAGGAAGGATCAAAATGTTCAAGTTAATGGCTGTGCTTGTATGATCAGAATTGTGTCCTTTTTCATGTTCTGCTTATTTATTTATATTCCACCTTTATTTTTATAAATAACTCAAGGCAGCAAATATACCTAATAGTCCTTCCTCCCATTTTACCCACAACTCCTATGTGGTGAGCTGGGCTGAGAGATAGTGATAGGTCCAAAATTATCCAGCCACTTTTCATATCTAAAACAACTCAGCCTCCCGGTTTCTCCCAGTCATGATGGCACGCTAGTTAGAATTCAGTATTTTCGCTAACTCTGTCAACTGCCAGCAGTTTGATTCTGACCAGCTGAATGTTTGTTCAGTCTTCCATCCTTCCAAGGTTGGTAAAATGAGGACACGAATTGAAGGGGACAATATGCTGACTCTGTAAACTGCTTAGAGTGGGCTGTAAAGCACTACAAAGCGGTATATAAGTCTAAGTGCTATTGCTATTCTAACCTGGTGTCTTAACCACTGGGTCAAACTGGCTATTTGCACATGATTTGCCTTTCTCTACCTTCCCTTTTCCAGCTTGAGGGAGGAACAGAAAGAGTTAAGCAGTTCTATTTTATTCTTGTCTTCCTTTTCAAACACCATCTAGTTGCCCTGAATTTTAAAATTGATAGTTTTCAAGGTAGTAAGTGAGAAATAGAAGAGAGAGAATTTGAGAAAGAAACACATGGATTACATTTTTTTTAAGGCTTCTTCCAGGATGAACTTGGTAAACCCTTTTTGTTGAAATTAGGGAAACTATGATACTCCAGTAGGAAATCAGAAGTGTGATACTCACCTACCTCAGTAAATAACATTTTTCTCTAATGATGGATTTTTGTTGTTGTTGAAACCTGATTTTTACATTTGGGTGTATCATTTCATATTGTTTTAAAAACATGATTAAGATCTTCAGTGTTTTTCTACATGGGGAATTTGCCCACACCCACAGCATGATGAGGCACTGTCAATAATCAAGGTAAGATAAGGATGGACTGTGCAACTGGAGAAGGGGTGTGTATGTGCAGAAGGAAGAATTTTGACAGTAGCACCATGGCTTTCCAGAGAGGGGGCAGCACATTCCAAAGAAAAGTTGAAAACAAGGGACTGCATAGTCCCAAATTGGATGGGCAGTGGCAAAAAATTTGAGGATAGCTATAATCCTAGAATCCCCAGGCATATTAGGTTAGGAGTCCCAAAGATTCTTTTTCAAGAGGCACCTGGACTTTCTTGTTTTTCTTTGAAGACGTTTTACCAGAAAGTCCAGGTGCCTCTTGAAAAAGAATCTTTGGGACATGAACTGGATGACCATAGACCAGGGGTGTTAAACTTGTGGCCTGTGGGCCGGATGTGTCACACACTGACCACACTCACTCCCAGTTTAGCAAAGGGGGGGAGGAGTTGTGATATGTCACATGATGTGTCGGTGTGAGTTTGACACCCCTGCCATAGACAATTAGGTTAAAAGATTGTAGCTTTACTTTAACTAGAATCTGTCTATTAGATATAAGCAAATAAAGAACAGAACTCAATTAGATCTCACCTTGTCATTTATCTTTGAGCTTAGGTCTGACATGGATCTCATCAGACTAAAGCTAGGGAGTCAGAAATGGCAATCATGTGGCTGTGGGATTTGCCTAGGTAGCAACTGGGACTTCCAAAATTATCACCCCATGTTGGCATGGTCATGTGACATTGCACTTTATGACTGCACTGCTTAGCGATAGAGACGTTGATCCCAATTTCTAACAATAACTGAGGTGTACCTATAATCCCATTGAGGTTTATGGGAAGGTGATCCTGACTAACTTAAATCCTGCTGGTAATAATGCTGATTTTACAGTGTTTGGAAAACAGTCTTGAATGAGGGACAAGCTGCATAATAGAAATGCAATTTCAAGGATCACATAGGCAAAATGTAACATCATAAAACCATTCATTAGTATCCACAAGAATGTAAATGCACTGATGTCACACTCCTGCTCAGACAATTCTTTATGCTACTGCTTTAGCTTTAATTTACTCTAAGAACAGAAGTAAAATACACTCCAACAAAGAAAATAATTTAGTTAGAACTTTCACTCATATTACGTGGGTTATAATTAAAGCAATGTCTATATGACGGTAAATTACATCTCACAACAAACAGTAAAATTAAAATCCTGTAAGAACTAGTGCCTGGATGGCCTGTATCACTGTCTCAGTAGCAATACGTACAAATGCAGAGACTGCTTCTAATGATGAAACTAAGCTTTTGTTATTCTAAAATAGAATCAAAATTTTAATTTTAATTTAATTTTTCATTTTAATTTTGTAAGTTTCACTTCTGTTAAGATCTGAACGCAGTGTGTGGCTTATGATGAACTACTGCTGGTGACACAAAACCACTCAGGCTGGCTTTCTGTTCAGCCCATCTTAAACCATTAAGTCTCCCTAGGTTTTCCTTGTACAAAAAGCAGGTAGCATGTCTACATTTATGACCTTTGGCAAATGAACAAAAAGCTTAGCCATCCAAACTGTAGCCTCAATCTCAGATCCTAGAAGAACTTTTGCAAGTGATCTCAAGAGTACCTTCGTGCACTGTGGTTTTCCAGGGGTATACCTAGGGGCGCTGAAAATGTTATGCTTTTTTTAAAAAAAAGAAAAAAGAAATGCACAAATTCATAGGACCATATGTGCAGTACCAGGTGTCCTACAGGTAAACCGCAAGTGCCCTTTCAGCAGTTTTAGATTTGTTAGCATGCATTTTCTTTCTCAGCAAGAATGCCACTCCTTCTGTCTAAACAGGTACAGTACGCCTTAGGCATTCATTATAAAATTCAAGTGAGGATGCAACTGGAAAGTGAGTTTTATATTAACATCTGGTATCTAATTTGCTCACTATGACAAACCATTTTAAACTGCTATACCAGGGGTGTCAAACTCACGGCCCATGGGCCAGATCCATCCTGCGGGGTGCTTAGATCTGGCCCATGAGGCTGCCCTGGAAACAGCAAAGGACTGGCCCACGGTACCTCTGCCTGCGAAAACAGAGCTCAGGAGGCTGTGACAGCCACCTGCAACCCTCTGCCTGAGCTCCATTTTCACTGGCAGAGAGTTACAGGAGGCTGTCACAGCAGAGGTGATATTCAGCAGGTTCTAATCAGTTCTGGAGAACCGGTAGTGGAAATTTTGAGTAGTCCAAAGAACTGGAGATTTTACAGTATCCTTCCCCTGCCACGCCTACCAAGCCACGCCCATAGAACTGGTAGCAAAGAATTTTGAATCCCACCACTGCGTTACAGCATCCTGAGCTCTGTTTTTATTGGCAGAAGTACCACAGGCATCAAGCCACCACAGGCATCTCCAACAGGAGTGACATCAAACTGGCCGTTCCCACCCTGGCTGTGCCCACCTGGCCTCCAAGATCAAAGAAAACTCTGATGCGGCCCTCAATGAAATTGAGTTTGACACCCTCTGCTATATATACCCTTTTTGAAAGTGAATCATCTATTTAAGAAAACATCTTGGGATGTGCAGGTCTATACTGATCTATTTGCAATCATTTTTCAAGAAAAGGAAATCTACTTCGTGGGAAGTAAAATTGAGAAAACATTTCAGGAGGAAATATTCCAATATTTTGATCCAGAAAAGAGCATAACTCTTGGGCTTGGCTTACCTTTGCCCATAGAGTCTAGTGACCCTCTTTGAAATGACTACTTAGTCATACTAAGTGAGCCACGGTGGCGTATTGGTTAGAGTGCAGTACTGCAGGCTACTTCTGCTGACTGCCGGCTGACTGCAATTTGGCAGTTCAAATCTTGATCATGTCTGATTACAACATTTCAGATTAGAAGCATCCACTTCCAAAGGAAGGGAAAAGGAAAAAGAAAAAACTGGAGTCACCCACATGTCTGCTAAATATTATCTATGATAGATTTCCCTCATGGATTTTGGGAGCCCAAGGGAAAATAATTCATGTACAGTAATGCCATCATCATGCACATTTAATGTTCTCTGCGTCACTTGTGAAATGGCCCTGGATGTGTCTCTCCACTTATTGAGCCATCTGCTACTTGTCCATCAATAACCTATTCGTGCCAAGTACAGTTTCTAAAAAGAGGATTAAATGGTTTCCCCAGCCTGAATAAATGAGATTCGTTTGTGTTTCCTTCGTTTGTGTCTTCATGCTGTTTTTTTTTTAAAAGAGGCCTTCATTTTACATTTGCAAACATCAGGATCAAGAGACACTTTGAAGCTTCAGCACCAGAAGAAAGACAAGAAAAGTTCAAAGATTGGCTCCGTTTGGAAGCAATATTAAGCAATGATTATTCTCTTGGTTTAGCAAGTTTCCCCAAGTCCTTTCTTCAAGACGACTCACTATGGTCTAATTAAAGTAATTGTATGCACAGGAACAATACCACTTGCATTGTATGTGAAAAGAAACATGTCAGAAGTATATATCCCCCCACCAACCCCACCAACAGCCAGAGATTTCCACTCAAGACCTACCACTAATCTGAGGTACCTTTCTTCCCTTAATCAAGGGCTGGCATGTTCAAATGACTGTCATTTAGAGGGTAGTACTGCCTTCTTTGCAGCATATGAATTTCCGGATCAGAATTACGAAAGAACACTCCTAGTCAAAGTACAATTATAATGCCAAAATGCTTAAAAGTAGAAAGTTTAAAAGATGGTTGTCTGTCAAACATTTGCTGAGTCTTCCCAACTTTATCATTCGCAGAAATCTCTCTTGCGCTACAGCTGCAGCTGCTGGCTGAAGAGTTCTTTTCTCTTGCTTCATAGATCCCTAGTATTGTACATGTTTACTCCTCTGACAGAAGAACAGCAGGCTCTTGCTGATTTTCCTGCAATTCAAGCTTCCACAGGAAGCAGATAATTGGCTAATTTGCAAGGACAGAACAAATCAGCTGTGGAAGTTTTGTACAATGGTCTGTTTCTGAGAGAGCCGGAGAAGCTCCTCTCGGATTGCTTTGATGAGGGAGGCAGACGAATGTCCTGTTTGGAGGTCCTCAGTGGAGCTGGTGTTGTAGCAAAGCCCTGGGCCCTGTTGGTTGCTGGCTGGCAGATGAACAGGTGGAGCTGAAGGCAGTCGAGCCGAATTCCGCGGCATCTGGAAAACTGGTGAGGAGCAATATTCGTGATGTCCAGGTGTATGTGTCTAGGGAAAGGCACAGAGCATTATTCCAGGTTCAGCTTAAAGACCAAAAGGTACAGGGGAAAAACAGAAAAAGACACAGGGACAGAGAAAGCAGAAAGTCTTCCTTTGATTTGAAATAAAAAACGGTTTTTAGAGGAATATTTGGTCTTGCTGGCCTCTTTCTAGAATTCCTCAAATGTTAGAAGATGGTTGCCAAAAGGATAGCTCTATTGCCATAAAAACGATGACACATGGCATACAATTTTATGTGTTAGAATAAACTTCATGAAAGGAATAAAAGCTTACAGGTAATCCTCATTTAGTGATTGGCTCATTCAGTGACCATTTGCAGTTATGACAGTGGTGAAATAGTAACTTTGTGACCAATCCTTGTCTTTAAGATCTAATGAGGTCCGTAAACCAAAGGAAAACTGAAGTATGTTTTATCATGATTTAATTTAGCATCTACTTCAGCTTAACAATGGAGTTGCTGATTCCAACTAAATGAGAACTACCTGTATTCTGAACTGACAGATACACTTATTTTACTTCCATGTAAAGCTCAACTGGAAATGTCACAGATTGTTTTTTTTTTTAAAGTCCAGTTTTCTGATTTTGTTGCTTTACATTTCTTCCTTTTATACTCATGTAAGTTTATACTGTACTCATCACATTAAGAAAAGAGTTCATGAATCTGATGAAATGGATTTTAAGTCTGCAAAAGCTTATGCCACAATAGCTTAAAGACAATAGTCTTTAAGTGTCATAGTGCACACTGGCTTCAAAAGTTAATCACAGTGATGAAACAAGCACCACTTACTTTATTAGCCATCTAATTCATATTTTGTATTCATGTGCATTTATGATTAAAAGAAAATACATACTTATTCAAACTAAAGGTATTTCATAACCTTGTGGACTACAGCAACTGTGTTCAACCTGATGCCTTTTAGATGTATTAGGTTTTAATTCCCCTAGTCCTCAACTCATGGAAATTGATCTAACACAGGGCTGTCAAACTCCCGGGCTGTCGGCCGGATGCGTCACACGTTGGCCACGCCCACACCCGGTTTTAGCAAAGGGGGAGAAACTCCTGATATGTCATGTGATGCCGCCGTGATGATGTAAGTTTGACACTCCTGATCTAATATATCAGGAGGACAACTGGTTAAGAAGCTTCTTCTATAGGCACATTACAGTTTTCAGAATCAGTACCAACAAAACAATGCTGCATGTACTTTCAAAAAGGAGACTTACCCCCTTGGAATCTATAGATCCATTAAAATGGTGAGACTTGAGCTGAATAAGTAAAGAGGAAGGAAGGAAGGAAGGAAGGAAGGAAGGAAGGAAGGAAGGAAGGAAGGAAGGAAGGAAGGGCTTGCGAAGAAACACTGAGGCCACAATATTAACAATGGCAATGGCATGCAGAAGAGACAGACTTGGCTAAGTGCTGCGATAGAGGAAAACAAGCACCCAAGAGTTTACTCCAGTGGGAATCTGCAGGTGAGAGGGAGGAATTTAATTCTATCTTTCGGAGCACTGTATATATCAAGACTGGCCAGAGGCAGAAGCAGTGGCTGAAGCCAGGCAGTTCTTGATGCTTTAGTTGTCTACCATGTTGAAGGATAGAGCTAGAGGGGCTATGTTAATTTCCTAATTTGCTTGGCCTCCCTTAGGTGAAACAGAAAGTGAAACCCCTCTCACCAATACTTAATAAAATGTAACAAAATTTAACAAACAATTAGGTCAGCCTCTGTGCATAGAAAGCAGGAAATAACTAACTTGTTCACTGACTTAGGTTGCCAAATATTTTGGCCCTGTTTCAGATCTGGCTCTTACCAGTATATTAGGGATAAAACTGAAAACATTACCTTACATTACTGAAAGAAAGAAGCTGCTGAGAGAACCACAGAAGAAAACGTAACTTGCCAGATTTAGAAAGGAAAGTAACAAGCGAAATGGATTTTGCTGATTAATCCAAAGATTCTGCACCAGCTAATTTCTTTCATTCTAGACAAACTGATAGAACAACTGACTTGGACTCTGCCAGTACACTGTCAATGAACTAAGTTTTGGTCTGTCTATTATCTAAGATCTCTTATTTCTTCACTGTTTGTCAAGGCACAAGCCTCACCAACCTGGGCACCACTATTTGCCAATTAATTTGGAAGGTTTTTATTTTAGCGTTATAGGGCGCCTAGAGCATGAGTTAAGGTGATGGGTCCAGAAAATTCAGTGCCCATTTCACCGGTCTTAATTGTAGTCAGTTTTGTGCCCACTCAAACTATGTTAAACAAGGCTGTATGTTTTTCTATGTAGCAGATCTTGCAAATCCCCTTCCTACCCTTCTTTGTATGACAATATCATACAAGATTGCACTGGATCAGTTAAATTCATATTATATATGATAATACAGAATTGGCTAGAAGTTTACTTCAAAGCAGCAAAAGTGGGAGCAACTATTGTTTCTTATATATGATTGTCAGCAATACTTAGAATTTAAACTCTTCCTTTTGAAAATAAGGCCTAGGTTTTGTATTTTTATTTGAGTCTTGCTATTTCTTTAGTAAACCAAAAAGTAAAATTTTGACTCAGAGATTGAATGGAAGGTACAAAAATACCACTATTGCTGACAATAATATATTTCAGAATTACCTTACTTTAGTGAGGGAAGAATAGACAATGAGATGTATAAAATCACTAGCTTACTATGACAAATTCTGAAAAGAATTTATGGCAGAGAGAAATAATCATTCTGCCTTTTATAAAGGACAGTTGTGTGACTGTAATTTCACTGCTCACAGAGTGTTTAATAATAATATTATCCCTGAGTCAAGTAACTTTTGACAGTCCTCCAAATATATATAAAACCTATTTGATTAGAGAAGACAGCAGCTAAACAGAAAGGAATACAAATACTAGCAACAATGCCTCCATCATAACACCTTTGATGTGTTTGGAAGCTATCGCCTGTGTCTTTGACGTAGGAGACAGCAAGCATGTAAGGAACATGAATGAGAGATACCCCTACCCTATACGGAGGGATAAAGAAGAACTCATGATAATTCAAACATGCATGCCAATGAGAAAGCCATGCTCTAAAATCAGGATTTTGCACCCATGGAATTAGCTTGCAAAAATAAAACATCAAAGAACACAACCAGACATAGCTTATATTTTGTAATACTAAAAAACCTTTTCAGTCTCATCTGATGTCTTTCCAACGATAGAAAGTCACAATACTCTGTCACACCAACCAGGCGATTTTCATCTCTTTTTCAGAGAGGTGTGAGGTTTGACAGAGCCAGTGGTTTCAGAAAGACATGTTCAGACGAGCCATCTTCACTGAGAGCATAAGGAGAAATGGGGGAACCTGAGGCTCCCTAGATGATGCATTGCTGGCTGGTGCTAATCGGGACAAATAATAGGTTGCCTAACTTGGCATAAAGGACCAGAGCCAAGACTGAGTAAGAGAAGGACATAAAAAGCAGAGATTTAAGGGCTGAAATACGAAAAAGACGAAAGCAGCAGCTAAAAAACAACAACAGAGAAGCAACTAAAAAAATTGAATTAAGGAAACACAAGACTGCTTCAGAAACTATTCAAACACGGAGCACAGTACTCACTGCTTCTCTCCTAGCAAATTCATCCTCTCCGCGGTATGGGGGCCACCCTTGTTCCCCTGGCTGGCCATGCCCTGCTCTGCCTGAGGGGATCTCCATTGGTTGACCTCCGATCCTGCTAGCAATTCCCACCTGAGTGAGGTGCTGTATCTGAGAACCTTAAAAGCAAATATGGTTTTGTTTTCATCTTACCATGCAGCATCAGAAGAGTGAGGGGCAAACAATCAGAGAAACAGGGATTGTGGAAGTAAGACATAACCAAACAAATGAGGCTCAGGGGGGCGGTGGGGGGGATTATTCAATTAACTTTTTTGGAAAGATTGACAAATTAGAATAAATAAATAAAAAAATTTGCATGCAAATTTTTCGATGTGGTTCCCCCCCCCCCGCCCCAAGTGGAGGGTATTTTCTGTGTGATATTTTTTTAAAGGATCATGCTGAAGGCAAGCATGGTAGAGCAGAGAAGAGGGGAAGAGAAAGGGTCAGAAAGGCAACACTTCTGACCTATCAATATTTAATCGTCATTTATGTGCAGTTTAGGAGAATTTACTTCAAAGTGCTGGAAATTTGCCTTCAATACAAGAAAATATTTGCTTAATTTAGGATACTCAGCTGCACGGTCAAAGCAGAATCCACTTTTGGGAAGAAGAGTTTTCATATCTATGTTCTTATGTGAATGGAAGATGGGGCTGAGATGAAATCAACCTTTACCCTTTAAACCCCACACAAATGAGGAAATGCCACTTAAGGTTTCGAGCAGCAATGTTACAATTTTAAATCTCTGCAAGATCTCACTTTTAAAAACCACCCCAAAAACTACACACACATACACACACACACAAAATCCCCCGTGGTAAAATGTTTGGCTTTACTTATTTTGAGGGAGCTCTGAGGGCTGAACTTTGGTTGCCTGTATTGAAACTCTCTTAGCTGCTTCTACAGACTGACTCCTGGAATAAGGAATACTGACCTGAATGCGGCTGAAAGTCCTAAGTTGTTTCTAATGCTAATTTTATACAAACGATACTCAGTGATATTGTTTAAGTTAATGAGCAGACATTTTCCCCTGTTTACCTTTTAAAACATACTCAGATCTTAACTTGGGATGATTTTGAACATTCTTTTGTTTATTCTAAATTGGCGTTTCTCAACCTTTAGCAACTTTAACATATATGGACTTAGATTACAGGAATCCCCCAGCCAACATGCTCAGGTTGAAAAACACAACAAGTAGTCCTCAACTTATGACCACATTTGAGCCCAAAATTTATGTTGCTAAGTGAGACATTTTGCTAGATGAGTTTTGCCCCATTTTACAACCTTTCTTGCCACAGTTGTTAAGAGAATGATTGCAGTTGTTAAGTTAGTAACACAGTTGCTAAGTGAATCTGGCTTCCCCATTGACTTTGCTTGTCTGAAAGGGGATAGAGCAACCATCATAAATACGACCCAGTAGCCATGCATCTGAATGTTGATCACGTAACCATGGGAAGCTGATCATAAGTGTGAAAAATGTCATAAGTCAGTGATGTTGTATCTTTGGATGATCACTAAACAAATAGTTGTAAGTCAAAGACTACCTGTACTTTCAAAGGGAAAACAACAATAACCAAACAAGGGTTTACAGCCATGCACGCTGCTTTTCATAAATATGATGCCATATATATCGTTGTTTTTATATGTGTGTATAAAATATGCCCTCGTCTGGAAAGGCAAATCTAACACTTTTCACTTGGTCTGGTTTCTGATAGATAAGAGAGATTAGAAATGGCAGTTGAAGTACTTAGTTCCTGAGGTAACCTTTTCATCTCCTCATGTAATAAATCAAAATCATGCTGGAAGGGTGCACAAGCTAATTCTATCTACGTGCATTTATAGGCATATTTCCCGGTGCTTCTGTGGGAAGGAAATGTCACGGTTCTTACAAGGGAAGAACAAAAGTGTCCCATACTCTTTGTCCCTACCCACTCCAGCTAATGGTTGCATCTTTTACAGTTGTCTTCCTACTAAAAGGCCTCTTGGGGGAATTTGGATGAAGGAAAATCTCTGATATTTGGAATTATGAACATTCTTGAATATTTTATTGCTTTCTCTTCATCATTATTATATGCAAACCAACTATAGATTTATACATACATTGGAACTGCACTACTGAGTCGGATTAACAAAAAGTAGATCCATCCCCCAAATATAGAAACGTTTCACACAGAGGCTTAGAGGAATTGTTTTGCAGGGAGTGCAACATTAGTATAGTTGATCATCCAGATCCTTCCCAGTCCAGGCACGCAATTTATTGAGCTAAGATGAGAAGGGGACTAATCATGTCTCTTCTTTATAGTCTAGATTTAGGGTCTAACTTAACCATCGAATTGTGAATATTTTGTAGCAGATAAGACTCTTTGTAATACAGATTTCTTAAAAGTCATTACCTGAAGTGCTTCCAACTGGTCGTGGCCGTGCCACTGATGGCATTTCCTCTGGGTAGATGCCTCGAGTGGAATATTGGACATCTGATGGCTGCGAATCTGGGTGTATTAATTCAACAGGTGGAAGAAACCCAGATCCAAGGTTTTGCCTGCTAGTAGAAAAACAATGAAACACATTCCTTCATCCATCCATTCATTCACTCATAAATAAGTCTTTTGTACTACTTCAGTCTTACATAGAATGGAATGGAATGGAATGGAATGGAATGGAATGGAATAGAATAGAATAGAATAGAATAGAATAGAATAGAATAGAACAGAACAGGAGTTGGAAGAGACCTTGGAGGTCTTCTAGTCCAACCCCCTGCTTAGGCAGGAAACCCTATAGCATTTATCCTATCTCTTCTTAAAAATTTCCAGTGTTGGAGCATTTACAACTTCTGGAGGCAAGTTTCTCCAATGATTAATTGATCTAACTGTCAGGAAATTTCTCCTTAGTTCTAAGTTGCTTCTTTCTTTTATTAGTTTCCACCAATTGCTTCTTGTCCTGCCCTCAGGTGCTTTAGAATAGAATTCTTTATTGGCCACGTGTGATTGGACACACAAAGAGTAGAGAATAGCTTGACTTCCTCTTCTTTGTGGCAGCCCCTGAGATATTGGAACACTGCTATCATGTCACCTCCAGTCCTTTTTTCATCAAACTAGACATACCCAGTTCCTGCAATCGTTCTTCATATATTTTAGCCTCCAGTCCCTAATCATCTTTGTTGCTCTATAAAAAGCATTATAAAGTGGTATTAACACTTCACGTGTTGTACTTACTCTAAGTAGTTATCTATCCATGCATTTACAAGATGCATTTGTGAACATATGTCTCAGTTCTCTAGATGTCATCATTGAAAAGATAAGGAAATGCATCAAAAGACATGTTAACTAGATGCTAGCAGAATGAGAAAGGACCAAGTTATGTAGGTGGAGTTCTCTGGCTTGTTCCTTCTACCAAGTTTGAAATTTGGTTCAAAATAAGGAAGAGGTATTCTTAGAAAAAGAAATAATTCTTCTGCAAATACACCAATCAAATAATTAGCAAATACCTCTGCAGTAGGCCTGGAGCTGAGGGTGGAGTCATCCCAAAATCCATGTATCTCTGAAAAAAGACCATATGTCAGGGGGAAAAAAACATAACTATACCTTCTAAAATAATCAGGGTATTGTAAAATAGAACTTAAAAGGAAAAATTAAGAGAATAAAATATTTCCAAATATTGAACACTTTAAGAAAACTTCTATCAAATCAAAAAATTGGGCAGCATGTTATACAAGCAAATCAAGGATCCTATTACAGCAAAGGTGGGGAAATATAGCCCCTTTATGATGTGTGGACTTTAACTCCCAGAATTCCATGCTGGCTCAGGAATTCTGGAAGTTGAAGTCCACAAATTGTAAAGGGGCCATAGTTCCTCACCCTGTATGACAGAAAAGTTAGTGATATTCAAAAAATGGCAATCTTAGCAAAAGAAAAGATAACACTGTTATATAAATAAAATACAAGAAAACAATAATGGGTTAAAATAAAATAAAAGATTTTAATAAGCGTATTTTCAAAAAATTAAATACTAACAACTAAAAAGCATAAATGCAGATGCCCTTGAATTCAATTTCTGACGTCCACGAGGACCTAATCATTCAATTTTCTGTTAATAGTAAATAAGTAATGTTGCATTTTTTAAACTGTCTAGTCTAACTTATAGCCTGGCAATTTCCTAGATGTCTTCTATCCAATTACTAATGAGACCTAATTTTATTTAACTTCCGAGCTCTGACACAATTGGACAGATGCCGAGAAGCAGAAAATGTAGGATACCTTTAAGAAGAAGAAGAAGGAAAAAAAATTCTTGAGGACAGAAGGAACTATTCTTTCTCACAAGGAAGCTCTTGAGATGAGCATCAATGAGACTACTAACTGTGTGAGCCTGGCTGTAGGGTGACCCCCACTGACTGCTCGGGGTATCTCTTGGAGCCCGGACAGGAGTGCTTGTTGACTGTCCTCCTGACCCTCCAGGATGGGTGATGGATGCTTGGGTACTAGGAGCCACCAGGGCAAAGGCATCATCCAGGAGAGAATGCATTGTTTGCCGGGCCTCTTCAATCGATGGCTGAGGAGGGACATATTGGAGAGCATGGGAAGGAAGGCCTGAGTATTTTCCCAATTCAGTTGAAGAAGGTGTCTGGGGATCTGCAGGAAGGTCAGGATCAGACTGGAAAAAAAAGATGGGGAAACAAGAACGCACACATTATCTAAATATTATCTGGGTGTGATATTATTTGTCATAACAACATCTATGTGTTACATTGGACAAACTTTATTGTGCATATTCTGAGTATCATTAGCAGTATCTCCTTCTCCAAAGATGAGAGCTGATGACAGTGTACCCAAGATATTTCAGCCCCAATCTAGGATCCTTCGCAGGCAGTCACTTTCACAACAATCTTTTTGTTGTGTTGAATTTATTTCTTTGTCAGTAAATATAAATTCAACCTAAAGTAAGAATACTTCTAGTAAATACAGGTTGAAGCTTTCTTTGCTGAGCAATGAGCCAACCATTTCTCCTAATCTTATCATGCAGTTTATGGAGAAATAATGATGATATAGCAGTCCTGGGCTGCAAATTTATATGTCCAGAACTGTTTGGGATTGTGTACTTTTTAAATATGGGAGGAAGGTGAAGAAAGACTACAGCAAAGCATTTTAAAAAGTTCCTTGTGACATTCTGATTAGCAAGCTCATTGGATATGGGCTGATTAACACGAGAAGGAAGTAGATACAGAAATGGTTTGAAAATCTTATTCAAGGAACACTCAGCTATGATTCCTTACCAAAGTAAAGGGAAGTACCCAGTGAGGTGATACATTGGTAGTCATTTTTAATAACAGTTTGAATAACAAGGAAGGAAGAACAGTTATCAAATTTGCAGATCATTCAAAAATACCCTAATACCCAAGTTTACCCAATTCAAAGCAATCTTGATAGATTAGAGAAATCGCTAAGAATTATGGAACAAATACAAAGTTATATGCTAAGGAATCAGAATGAAAATAAATTCTGAGTGCAGTATATCTGATCTAGAAACTGTCCTTGTGAAAAAGAACATTTAAAAAGTCAGTTGTAAACCGAGTATGAATCAGTGGAGTAGCAAATAACTTTTTTTTAGGTTGAATCAAAGCAGAATTCAAAATTTTAGGCTATATTTGTTTACTTCGTTCTGCAATGATTGCACCTCGCTTTGAATGCTGTAGGTGGAAAGAAGTGTTGATCAGTGGTAGCTAAAAATGGGAAGGATTTAAAAAAAACTGGACTAGTTAGGAGAAGGACAAGTAAGATTAGGGACTGGTAAATTCTACTAAGGGAGATTAACGGCATTGGAACTCTTAGCCTTGTGAAAAGATGAATGGGGGAAATATGACAGCACTTTGCAAAGAGTTTGTCACCTAGAAGGCAGCTCAGGATTTTGTCACATGAGAGAATGAGACAGGTCAGGAATAACTAATTTAAGCTACAGATTCCAAAACAAAGAATTGAAAGCTGTTACCCAGGACTTCTCCTTCACTGAAAATAGCAGGTAAGCCAATGTTTTAATTAGAATTCTTGCACTGAGCAAAGGGGTTGGACACTGTGGATTACACAGGCTTCCAAGTCTAAGTGGTACCCCAGTGCATGAAACTCCTTTTCTTGAGTCTCTAGTTATGCCTTCCCTTCTAAGACAGGAAATAGATTTGAGAACACGTCTATAAATCGAGGCTCTTCAAATAACTGCGAAAAAACCAGTTTACATTAACAATCGTCACCATACAGTCATGCAACATTTACATGCAAGTTGGATGTTATGATACATTATCACATATAGCCTTCCTAAAGATCTAAACATACAATGTAGGCTGAGTTGTTGACACCCGGAGGCCTTTTATACGTGCCATCACTGTCCGTTGTGATTAGTCTGTCCTTGTCTGCATCCATTGGGCTTCCATTCATCTGATGCCTCCGACGCTGCTTTGGGGATCGTTTTGCCCGGGAACTAAAGAATAAATAGTTTCTTTAAATGCCTTAAGATTTGCCAGCATTGCCTAAATTGTGTTCTTAATACCATGAAACATTACCTCAAAGAGTTTGTAGCATGTGAAACATCTTTTATCTAAGCCTCTTCAAATTTTAAGGCAATCTATCTAAGAATGGCTAGGCTTAGAGTTTTTATTCCTACTGCTACTTCCCATTTTATAGGCTATTTTTATTGCTTTTGTTTTTGCAACTGCAGCAAAAGTTTTGGCAGATGAGTGGACATGAATAATATAATGGAATAAACATAAAATAAATAACCAGCTTAATTGTGATATGCTATCACTTATCCAAATTGTCCAGGGAAATTTGAATAAATAAACCAGAACACTCATTTAGTTTTCCATTTGATGGGCCTAGTTTAGATATTATTGTAAAATGAACCAAGTTTTTAAAGACTAGAATGAAGGCAAAACTGATGGTGGTACCTTGGCAGGTGTTTACATGTTCTTTACTTATTTTATATGGGCCACTGATTTGAGAAAACATTAATAGATTATTCATTTTAATCAGTTTATCCTGTCTCCTCTCCAAACTAGTATAGAATAAGAATAAATAAAGAGCAAGCATATTTAAGATATGATGTACCTTTTCAAAACTAACTTATTAAAATGCAGAAACAGAAAACAAAGCCAGGGAAATAAATTACAATACATGGCCCTATCAAACAGAATAGCATTGATCTGTTTCCAAAACCCAAGAAGGTTCAGTAATCAACGTTACACCTTTAAAAGGGCCTTGTTGATAATAAATGCCAGCTTTTTTTCACCAGAAAGAAAGGCACCTGAAATAGATCTCCCATTTGTACATCTTAATACTAACCAGGAAGAAGCCATGATAAAGAAAACTGAAAACCCTGGCAGATTTGGGAGGCAAATTTCAAGAAAAGGAACACACAGCCTTTATTGTCCAGTATATTCTGTTGGCTTAATTTCTTTTCTCCTTGTACCTTCCCAAGTGAGAAATTTATAGATGAAACATGACACAAAATATTTTAACATTCTTAATATTTTAGGAATCTGACATAAAATAGTTTAACATACTTTCTGAATATTTTCAGGAATATCCACATTTTCTAAATTGATAGGAATGAATTTCACTCTCTCCAACTTACCTCTTCCTGGGTTCTATGAAAACAGTTGGCATGTTGCCACTCGGGTCCAAGATTTTATCTATCTGCATCTGTGCCTTGCGGTACATCTGCTGCTGTTCTTTGGTATCGATGATAACCACGTCATCCACAATTGGGAATTCATAATGTCCTTTACGCTTGGCACGTAGCCGGATCTTGTTACGGTGATGCTCAATCTCAGATTTATGCCTCAGAGCTGTTTGTATCTTTCAAGAAAATAAAAATAGGGAGATGCATGAAACCTCTTTTGGTGCTTTTCCTCTGACATGATCAAAATGGATTAGACAGGAGAAGGAAAAGATGAAAAGAAAATATTGAATGCTTGCCAGAATATAACTTCAGGTAGGGGAAAAAAATCATGCCCTGTATGATTCATTCAGCAAGGACAATCAGAAGAAGAGAGAGCACAGCATATTAATACAAGAGCATGACAAACAGCATGCAAATTGCATCTCCAAAACCTGTCGTAAAGGCATAGCAGCGGAGAGAATCCAGGCTATGGTAAAAGCTTATGTAAAAAAGACTGCTTGTATAAAGCTAAGAATTATCAGTCTGATAAGAACGGTGCCTGTGTTTATGTGGGAGAATCTCTGTTTTGGACATCTCTTCTGATTACAGGTAATTTTCCTGCATTGCTGCCTGAAGAGCAACTACAGCAAAACCTCACTGAGACAAGACAAAAGCGAAGTAGTTAATCGTATAGAGAAACAACATTTATTTTTGTTGTTTCTTACTTTCATCTGCATTACTAAAATATTGATCTTGTTTCACAGAATCTGCTATTACAGGAATTGAAATCAACTTTCTCTCCCTCATTTAACAATTGTCTAATGCATTTGAATTAGGCGGCCATTTGAAGAAGACATAATGGATACCGTCAAATATCTAAGTATAATCACTCAGTGAGAGTTAGAGTAGATTGTAGATTTAACAAGTAAGTATGACTTTGTGATTTTTTTTTTCAGTGTAGCAAAAACATATAGATTTGGGAACTCGGACATATGTAAAAGATCCCCAGAGCACAATATCCTAGAAAAACGAAGGCAATCTTATACAAGAAACTACAGCAACAAACTTTCTGCACATGGGAAATCTAAAAAGAAAAAAACCCTATTTTTCAGCTTCATTCACAAGGCTAGGATTCATGCCTGATTATCCTTTCACAGAAGCTACTGATGTTGAGAACAGGAGACATTGTCCAAGTTATTTTTACATGTCTATGGAAATTCCTTGAAGATGTTTCGCTTCTCATCCAAGAAGCTTCTTCAGCTCTGATGGAATGGTGGAGAATGGAAGGATTTATATTCCTTGTGATTCTCCACAATTCAGTCAGAACTGAAGAAGCTTCTTGGATGAGAAGCAACATGTCTTCAAGGAAAAACTAAGAAAGTCCAGTTGCCTGTTTAAAAAGCATCTTTGGGACTAGTTATTTTTACCTTTACATTTTGGTTCCCACCCCATTTCTTGAAGAAGCCACAGTCATACCTCAAAGTGAGGCTAACTTTACTTTAGGGAGCAAAATTTTAAAAAGCCACAGGAGACCCCCAAATAGCTAGGCTTGACACAGAGTTGCCTAGGAGCACAGTCCTAAATATATATAATGACCTTCCCCCAAAGAATCCTGAGACTTATAGTTTGGAAAAAGTGGCAGAGGACTCAATGAAGGTCACTCTCTTCCTGCCAAGGCAGAGTAGATAGAAGAACAGAGCCCTCTCAGTTAGGGCTCTCATTTATGAAATGCATTTCTGATGCCTATCTAAATTTTTGTTAGTTCTAAACAAAATATCTCCTTCTTCCAGGTATTTCTATAATTTTGTGTTGGCTTCATTTTAAACAGACTCTTCTCGTCAGATGGATGCTATGAAAGGAGAGGCTATGAAAGTGGAGAGTACCTCCTTATTAATTTTGTTGGTTTCAGCAACTCGGTCAGAAAGGGGTTGGTTTTGTGCTGCAGGCATGGCGATAGGCTGCATAGCAATCAGTTGGATCTTGCTAGGGACTCTTCTACTGATTTCAGAGGATCGTGACATTCGGTCCACATGCTCAAAGATAGAGGCGGAAGATGGCTGCTCCGTTCCATTAGTGATCTGCGGAGGGCCTGGGTTACAAATAAAAATATAAAAAGAGAAAAATGTATTGGTTTAATAAACATAGTCAAATCCCAGGGCACGTGACATTTACAAAACACTCTGGACCAAAAAGCAAATCATGATTTGAATAGTACCACTGAAATTAGAAAAACAAATAATGTAATATTAGACAACCTATGCCACGTTAGGTCATTGTTTTGTAGTTTCCTTACCCAAACAGAAAAACAGAATGGTCATGTTTGACCAAAAAAACAGTGATTTCTGACCTCCTGCCAGCTTCCACAATTGACTTTTCTTGGTAGGGAGCATCAGAAATCTTCCTTCCTTCTTTCTTTCCTTCCTTCCTGCCTCCCTCCCTTCCATTCCAGCTGGCTTCCCCGTTTACTTTGCTTGTGGGAAGTTTGCAGGGAGAAAGCAGGAAGTTTTAAATCCAAGGCTAGCAAGCAGGTAAGTGTCTGCTGCTGGGTAAGGGAGGGAGTCAGGGCCTATGTGAGGGTGTGGGTCATGAACAGAATGTGAGGGAACATGAGAGAGTGTGGGAGGCAGAGGCGGTATTCAGCAGATTCTGACCAGTTCTGGAGAACCAGTAGCAGAAATTTTGAGTAGTTCGGAATGCCACCTCTGACTGGTCCCATCCCCATCTATTCTCTGCCTCCCGAGTCCCAGCTGATCGGCTGGGTCTTCTTTTGTTGCCCTGCACAGGAGAATGGAGCTGGAAAGCAGGTTAGTGGGGTGGGGAGAGAATGGGGATTTTGGAGTATCCTTTCCCTGGAGTGGGGTGGGAATGGAGATTTTACAGTCCTTCCCGTCATGCCCACCAAGCCACGTCCACCAAGCCATGCCCACAGAACTGGTAGTAAAACAATTTGAATCCCACCACTGGTGGGAGGCTGCCCAAGTAGGCAGTGAAGGTTAGGGAAGGGTTCCCAGAGATGCTATACCACTGAGGTGCAGGGATGCCAGAAGGACCAGTTTTAACCACCATTTGTTCAGCATTGTTGTTGTAACTTGAAACAATCACTGTCTGAATGGCTGTAAGTCAAGGACTATCTGTATGTCCCAGCCTACATGCTACAATTAAGGTGAAGGAATTTGTAACCCACAATCAGTGGTGGTATTAAAATATTATTACTACCAGTTCTGTGGGTGTGGCTTGGTGGGCATGGCTTGTTGGGCATGGCAGGGGAAGGATACTGTAAAATCCCTATTTCCACCCCACTCCAGGGGAAGGGTACTGTGAAATCCCTATTCATCCCCACCCCATTAACCTGCTTTCCAACTCCATTCTCCTGTGCAGGGCAACAAAAGAAGACCCAATCGATCAGCTGGGACTCGGGAGGTAGAGAATAGATGGGGGCGGGGCCAACCAGAGGTGGTATTTACCAGTTCTCTGAACTACTCAAAATTTCCACTATTGGTTCTCCAGAACCTGTCAGAACTGGCTGAATACCACTTCTGATTACAATGCAAACTGACACCATAGGCTGTTCTTTCAATAATCTGGAAACTTGGAAGGACCCAAATCCCTTGGATAGAGGGGACTCGGTGGAAACAGGTTATTACTTACAATAAAAGTAAACTACTCACAAAAATCTGTCAGTTTTCTGAGATTAGTGGCAAATAAAAATAAAATTACTTCTACCCTAATAACCATGGTACTATTTATTTTTTGCGGGGTTCTTTATGCTCTCTGAGCTTGCTTGTTTTCTTGCAGACGTTTCATTACCATAAATAGGTAATGTCGTCAGTGCTACTAAAGAGTGCTGTTTGCTATCAGTTTATATATTATTGTAAATGAGATGTGCAATTACTATTGCAATGCATTGAACAATGTTTCGCTCATCTCTCTCTCTCTTTCTCCCTCTCCCTGCAATGTTCTCTTATATTATGTAACAAAATAACTACCAGAGGTAGCAGCTAATTTACAACATAAATATCAAGTTCATGTATCTGTACAAGTTTGATTAACTGTATTCAAAATGCCTCCCCAAGCCAACGTTTTATTGCTTTCCTAGAATTATAAGATTTTGCCAGTAAAAGACACATGACTTTTCTAGTAATGCTTGGCCATGCTGAGAAGATGTCAAAAGAAGATTAAAAAGTATAAAAGAGCAAGCCGACTATCTCAGCAAAATGTGACACTGTGCTTTACTATGGAAAGGAACATTCTATACATGGCCTCTAACTTTCACTTTTTGAAATGGTCACAAAGCCAGAAACATAACTTTTGCTTTTAACAAACCGCAGAAGCATGACGGCTTAGGTTACATTTGATTAAAATAAACCTACTTGTTATTACTTTATGAAGCTGAATTATTAAAAAAAAACCACAGAATTTAAACTAGCCGCAGTTTAGGATTCAATGAATATAGAACCAAATGTTTCCAATTTTCACTTTGCAGTTAAATCACCAAGGGGAAGAAAAATAAAACCTTTAAGTTATGGTTTAGCTTTATATCTGAAAGAACATTTTATATAGAAGTCTTAAATGACTGGCTGAAATGAAGCAATAAAGATTATTGTCAAGAGATGAATACGATTTTAACAGTAACAAGAACATCTGGTAATGTCCAGAGGCTTAGGATTAAGGTTTTGTTTTCCATGATAATGGAAAGCTAGATCCTCTACAAACCTCTCCTTTACATATAAAAACCTCTATTCAGACAACTATTATTCATAAATCTGTAGCCTCACAGAAATCACCTGAAGCTCTTCTAAGAATAGATAAAATGCAGAATAGATAAAATGCAGGGGGAGAAAACTTACGCACAGCTGCCTGTTCGAGGTCAAACCGCATGAGTGCACATATAAAACCACAGCAAATACTTTTCTCTAGGAATATATTTTAAAATGTCCAGGACACAGATGGGCACATTTTAATTTTTTGGAAGGGGTTTAAGCAAACAGATCTGGATCAGAGCCTAAAGTCCAGATCTTTCATATGCCTAGCTACTTAACTCAGGTGGGGCCTTGGTTAAGTGGGGCCACCTGTTCCCACTTTCTGACATTCCCCTTATCTTCTTTCAGGCATGTTTTCTTTGATAATCTCTTTTTCTCACTCTCTTCCCCTTTTGGGAAGCTGCCTCGGTTGTTGGTCTCAGGCCTACAGATAGCTTAATCCTGCTAAATTGTGCAAGAGTAGCAATCTGAATGGCGGAAACGCAGCACACAAGAAATGCCCTCTCCAGCTACCTTGCCTTTCTAAATTTGTCCATTAGCAAAGCATCATGCATTAATATGCTGGAAAGAGAAGTATATGGGTCAAGCATAGGTGTTACATGCACAATATCTGAAATTGAACTTCAGTTAAGTAGCTAAACATATGAAAGATCTGAACATAATCACAGAAAATTGCTAAGGATAGACAATTTGCTGATGAGCCAATAGACATATTTATTTAGAGTAAAGTGGTTTCATCTGAATGAAAATCTATTACATTTACTTCTATAAAGATCTCATTCTATGTTTTAATTAGCTAGGTCCAGTTTCATATTCCTTTTTGAAACTTACCCATTTTGTTTAATCCTGATAGCATCCAGAGAAAATAAAACAAAGGATATCATTATAATTCACCAAATCATGATAGGAAAGTCATATGTTACTGAGAAGGATTCTAAGACAGCAGTTAACAACAAAGAAATTATTTGTACAGTTTGGCCAAGGACATACCATAACCCTTCTGAAATAATTTGGGTGTAGAGGCAGTCTTCAACTTCCATCCACAATTGGGATCAGAATTTCCATTATTAAATAAGCTAGTTTTTAAGTGAGTTATGCCCAGTTTTATGACCTTTTTGCCAGGGCTAATTGAATTACTGTAGTTGTTAAGTTAATCATGTGGCCATCAAGCAAATTCAGCTTCCTGTACCAACTTGCTTGTTGAAAGCCACCTGGGAAAGTTGCAAATGGTAATCATATGTCAATGCAGTCATAGTAAGTACCTGCTGATTGTCAAATTTGATCACGCAACCACAGGGATGCTGAAAAAGTTGTAACTGCAAATCCTACTTCTAAGTCATTTTTTTCAGTGCTGTAATTTCGAATGGTCATTAAATGAATGGTTGTAAATGAATAGTTTAACATTTTTTGTAAGTTAATGACTACCTAAATGCCTTATGTTCTAATATGGTTTTGAAGATCTACTCCATAAAGTTCTGGACAGAATATTATACCCTTTTATAGTTACCATTACAATATTCTCATTTATTTGCATAAATAAATGCAGGATTTCTTAGTAGTCATTCGTTAACAAAATTAGCCAAGAAATTAAAAGGATTCAAATTTACCAGAAAACTAGTATCCTTGGTCTATTTGCTCACGTGGAATTATGGTTAAAATGAACTTGCATAGCATAGCCAGAACAGAATTTTTTTGGGACAAAGTCAAATATATAAGCATCCATTGAACACTCTGAGCATTTAAAATTAATGCAAAAAAACAAAATAAAACAACAACCACCACCACCCAAGGACCTATCTATGTATTTTGCAAATGATGGTCAGGAGAAATATCAATCTGTTTCAGTATTTGTAGCACATATTTATGATTTATGAAGAGGTATTTATATAAATTATTGTTACATAAAACCATGTAACTTACCAGTCTTGCTAACTCTATGAGATTTCACGTCATTAGCAGCTGTTTGAAGTCTTGCATTCTCATCTCCTGTATCTTTGCCACTCGAGTGCTCACTCACTGTGGAATCAGCATCAGAAGGGGAAACTCTGTATATACCAAAACATCATCATCATCATCATCATCATTATTACTATTATTATTATTAATGTTGTTGGTGTTGTTGATGTTGTTGTTGTTGTTGTTAAATGGTATATTTCATGGTTATACTGTCTTTCTTTTTTTATGTGTGTATGTTCCATCATAACTCTGGAACGCCTTGAGCAATTTCAACCAAACTTGGTACACAGATGACTTACCCTCTGGAAACCCTCTGTGGGGGTTACCTCAGGGTGTGTGCATGCCTTAAAATGGCTTCTACTGTACAGCACAATGGACTTGCCATTGTAACGGCTTCACAGTATTCCACAAGGGGGCTCCCTCTCAGCCCTCCAAGGAAACGTCAGGCAATTGGCCAAGTGCAATCAAATGCTACAAAAATGAAACACCAGCATACACAAGAAACTCTCAAGGAGAGGAATAGAAGACTTGCAACACTGCACAAGAGACAGTACAACAGTGTGAGTACTGACTAGAGGATTTTCCTGTCTAATACAAGTTTGGGATAAATAAATACCCAGGCAAAGCCAGGTTATCAGCTAGTATAATAAACAATAGAGTATCATATATAAGGTTACTAAAGAGTGTGAATTTTAATCAATGCTTCATTTCACCCACGGTAATGCATTATTACATGCTTTCAAATAAAGTCCATGAAAGAGAGGGAGAGGGAGAGATTTGGGGCTTTGAATCACTCCTGTAGGTTTTCTGGACAAATCTCTGCAGTATTGTTGGAGAATTTGGGGGATCGATTGTTATTGGTTTTCCAAGGGCTGATAGAATGACTGGCCCAAGATTATCCTGTTGATGTCATGCTTAAAACAGGGTTAGAATTCCAGGTCTCCCAGTTTCTAGTCTTATCCACGACACTAAACTACCTCTGTCTGAGTTAATTAAAGAGATATGTAGAACTAACATATTTCTTTCTCCTTTAAATAAATTTTCTTCTACCTTCCACTGCATCCATTAACGTGTATGATTCACTATATGGTTGGCAGTAGATTCCAGACCAGGGGTGTCAAATTTCATTGAGGGCCGCGTCAGGTTGTGTTTGATCTAAGGGGTGGGCAGGGTGGGCATGGCCAGCTTGACGTCACTTGTGTCAGGGGCGCTATTGGTGGCCCGGGCGCTCTGCCAGTGAAAACGGGCTCCTGAGCTCTTTTTCCGGCTGCGACAATCTCCTGCAACCCTCTGCCAGGGAAAACGGAGCTCGGAAGGGCTGCTGGCAAAGGAATCCCGGGCCGGTCCTGCACTGTTTCCAGGGTAGCCCTGCAGGCCAGATCTAAGCACCCTGCGGGTCTTGAGTTTGACACCCCTGTTTCAGTTAAACCAAGTACTGCACAAATCAGTTGAAAGGGAGATTCTGCAAAGCACAACGGTATGAATGAAGCAGTCCTCTTTAAAGAATTAAAGTACCTGTATCCTTTAGAAGTCTTAGAAGTCTAGAAGACACAGCTGCTTTGGAAGCTTCCTTGGCCATGTTCACACATGCATGGACATGTGCTTTACTGGGCCTCCCAAAGAACAAGTTTTAATGCTTTTTACAAAACCATTAAGGGCTTTGTCAATACACTTTCAAATGACCCTTTCAAATCCTCTGAATAGCTTTGAAAAAAGTATTGCTCCATGTATGAAGATGAGAGAGATTCATGGCATACATAGCTAATTATCAATTACAGATGTAACAAGTAGAATATATCCATTCAAATGATATCTTCAGAAACCCAGACATGCCCCATCCAGTAAGGGCTTTGAGTTTTGACAAACATTTTAATGCAGGTTGTAATATAATACGACTTTCACTGTTTGAATTTACTGTACATTTCTGTTCTTACCTTTTTAAAATGGATGTAATATTTGTTCTACTCTTTTTTTTAAACTAGTGTCAATAACTGCATTTTGGGGTAAAGATTGCTTTCAATTTTTTAAGCTTCCATTTGGGGATATGTGTATAAAACAATTTACATAATGGATCCTCCAATTTCAGTGAAGTTCAAACACCAAATGCAAGGTTTCAAACTCAAAGAACCAAATGCTAAAAGGATCTCCATATACAACGCAGAGAAGTCAGGATAACTAGTCAATAAGTAGTGGAATGAAGAGTGTATGCTTCCCTTTAATTACATAAGAAGGTCTATAGCGACCATGGCTATTTTGGATAATTATGAAATCTTTCTACATATTAGGAGAGAATCACATCAGAGAAGGCTGTTGAACCACCTGGAAACTTCAGAAAATTTATATAATTATATCATATCAGAACTTGATGCCACAATGTCATGTCGTTGGTGCACTCAACATGTGTAGCCTGAAAAAAAATCCACAAAATTTGGAACCCAGCAGATGAGCCTAGGAAACAAATCCTTGTGGCCTTATATATAAAAAAACATTCCTGAGCAAAAACTATTCAAACTGAGAAAAAGCTTCAAAGAATAAAACAAATCCTTCACAGTTAATTAACTTTAACATGCGCTGAGCAATTTCTCATCCTCTGAACTGACCTCCCTCTATGTCGGACATTCTTGGAAGGCTTTGAAGATAACTTGGTCTTGGGGCTTGGCAGGTCACCATTTTCAGAAGGTGTGGCATCTTTAATTGGTCCTGGCAGAGGAGTTGGTTCATGTATGATCAGGATGTCATCTTTGTTATGCTGGCCTAAATGCTGCTTTGCAAAATCAAAGCCTTTGACACTAGGAGCTTGTAGCTAAAGAAGAAAGAAAGAAAGAAAGAAAGAAAGAAAGAAAGAAAGAAAGAAAG